GATCTTATGCAAAAGAAATATATCACTTACTGGAATCATACCCTTCAACATTCACAAAAACTTAACTTTTATTATAAAATCAAAACGAATTATAGCCCTTCTGTCTACCTAGATTTAACAAGAAAGAACCCTTCTAGGAAAACATTAGTGAAACTGAGAATAAGCAGTCACAAACTTAGGATTGAGACAGGTAGATACGACAATCTACCACGTGACGAAAGGTTATGCAATCTCTGCAATTGTAACAGAATTGAAGATGAAACTCACTTTTTATTAGATTGTCCAAGTTTTTCTTCCATAAGAGATATGTTCTTCTCTAAACTAGATCCTAAAATACCGTTTCTGCGACTACAATCACATGAGTCCTTATTATCACATCTGATGAATTCTCCTGACTATTTTATTAACATCCAATTAATTTCATTTATATCAACTTGCTTTGAATTGAGAGACAAACTTATCTCCGGAATAATTAATCCTACTGATGGTTAGAAATAAACAATGATTGATAAGTTTCAAATTATTTTAAATATTTAATTTACAAGGAATCAATAAGTAATTTCAAGTAGCTTTTGCAATACTGTAATACTTTGTTATGGTCATGCAAATAAAGCTTATTGTTGTTGTTACTAATTCCAGTTAGAAGTCCCCATCTTCTCGCCGCTTATCATACTAGGTAGTCTCATCTACATGCAAATGTAAATAACAATAAAACACCACATTGAATGTTAACAGCTGAGTTGTTTATCCAGGGGCACCTGACGACTGTTTTCTGTAAAATATCTGTTCGGAAAAGCAAATATTGTCTGGAATTTTCTGTTACTTGAGGACGGCTAAGAATTTCTAGATGACCGTTTCATTCGTGTACAATTTTCGAAGCTTATCCCTACGATTTTCTTACGTTTAATTTTTCGCAGAAAAAGGAACCGACCTGAAATTTTCGGATTCGAGAGTGCGATAGAAAGAGGACAGAAAAATTCCCAATCCACTTTCGTAAAATTATAAATTGCATCTAAAATTTTCAGGAAAATGATACTGAAGCCCTGGTAATTTCGAACAAACTCAAGTTGCCCTAGGATGATCGAACAGATGTGAATTCTATAGCGCCGCTTAGAATGTATTTCTGAAGATCTAAAAGTATTCTGGATAGCCTAAAAGTGTTTTCAATACATTTAGGACAACACTGTCGTTGGGTTCCCCTGTTTTTCTGCCTTCTTTACCAACACAAGCTTCCTCTCGGCTCTTCAAGTTTTTACGTTAAATATATTTTCGGCAGTGTTACAAATTTTTCATTGCCTATCTCTTAAAAATAACAATAATAACGACTTAATTTCTGCATTTTTCTAAAAGAATTCAGTCATCGTTGGAACTTTCAATCTCTTGGCGATTTACCATAGTGTACTTCGCCTTTTCGATAATACGAGCTCCTTTAGTTTCGTAACCTGGCAAGAAACATGTCATTTCAAGGCCCAAATCATAAAACTCCATGAAATATGTCGAAGAGAAGGCTGCAAATAGCAAAAACGTCAGCCACTCGCTAATATCACTAAAAGCGTCTAGAAAATAAGCCTCATTGTCACCCCTGTGGGAATACCAAGGTCTATAAGGTTTATTTTCTTTCAAAAACCGAACAGCAAGCCACACCTCCATAGTCACGTGCACAAGTCCAATGACACACAAAAGGATCGAGATGACGATGCGGAAGATAAACAGCTTGAAAGTACTGAGTCCTAGTTTGGCAAGTTGGAACGTTATGAAAGCTTGAAGTGAACAGTAAGTTATTCCACAAAGGCCAATAACAATTCGTCCAGTGTGGTGGAATGTGTCTAAGCCTTTGCTACCCTGTGAAAAAGTCATTAAGCAAACTAAGGTTAATTCAATATTGCCTGAAGAAGAGCAAGCGGTTTTGTCGATGAGTACTTAACATTTACATAAACTAAAATGGGAGAAAGCAGAAATTCAACCTGGACTGGAGAATGAATTGGTTCATTCTCCAGAAGTTCTGTTTCAGAAGCTTTATAGAATTGTTGAACGAGGCGATGCAATTTTTCCTTTATTCAGGTTGGTCTAAGCTTTAGCTTCTGATCTGGCTACACTGTAACGGTTTGGCCAACCACTTAAGATCAGATGCATAGTTTCAATGTGTAAATCGAAACCACCATATGTATCATAGCATTTTGAAAGAAGACCAAGCTAAAATCGGCGACACGGTTGGTGGCCAGATGACCATGAGTTTGCAGATGGCTCGAGGAATGGCATATGTGGAATGCCTATGCACTGATATATCAACGAAATAAATAGCGAAGCGCCCCCAATGTTTCTAAAAGTAGTACCCTGGTCGAATTTATTTTTGAATCATTCTGTTTCTATTGCGTTCCGCATAACATTAAATAGCATTCCAAAAGTGATGTCGCTTGCCATTCCACAAATTCATTCTAACTTTTTCCCCAAGCTAATACGGAGTACGCACGTCAGTAACTTAATTCATACGTGCTTTGTCATTGCAAAATATAGCCTTTCTCCACTGTATCTCAAAATATAGTATATTAATATTGTATGGTGGGGGCACCAACATGACCTCCATCATACAAACGTCTATTAGTTTATCTACTTCGGAGAGCTATAACCTCGCTCCCTTTACACCTATCATTTTCAAACTTAGCAAGTGTACTGGTATTAAGACGCTCTTTTAAGAAGTGTCGACGGATTTTCTGCAGATTGATCCTCATTAAAACTTGGTAAAAAAAATACGTGGGAGAGTCTATTGCTTACAATGGCTTCAAATTTTTATAGTCATTCTAAATTATGGAAACAGAAATTGATCAGACTTACTTTTTCCCCTGGTTGACGGAAATTGCTAATGGCCGTTATTCCAGTCATAGTTCCCATGCCAAATATCAGTGACGCCAGTCTTAGACGTCCAATGCTTGCATTTGTCTCTTGCGGAAGGCCTCTTGTGACCACTTCCAAGTGTAAGTAGCGAATGAAGATCGAAAGAAGTCCTACCAAGGCCAACAAATCTAGAAGTTGACTGAAAATCGAATGCAACCATTGAGAGGCGCTCGCCGAGTGAACAGAGTCATCAAACTCTGTATTATTGGCCATTAAACGAGAGACTATCACCGTGACGACCAACAGAAATGACCACAAGATTGGAAGAAAGCAAAGGCCAGAAGATATAGTAACCATGACGGGAAATCAAACTATATTGCGGATGCAGTTAGTCAGTTAAGATTTGTATTTAGTTACGCAAATATGGAAACAGAAAAATGTGTCACAAGCTATAACAAAGAACGATTCTCATGAGAAGTAAATAAGACAAAGCATGCAAATTGAATTGACCTTGTATTATGCTATACACTCTTATGTCAGTTACAAACTTACATTCTAGAAATTACATTAAAAGTGTTTTGCATAACCACAAGCATAATCCTGATGCATGACTAACCGATGCACCCTTCTAACAATACAATACACGACAGCTCAATAAAATAAAAGGCAGTCTGTGAGTCTGTGACTGAATATGGCTGCTGTTTTAGTTTTGTAGAATGTATTGCTGTAAAAAAAAGAAATGTATACACCTATTTCGATAAAGGTTGCTTTGAGATTTGGTCATTGAAACACAGAATACAATGCAATGCTTTACTTGAGTGACCAGCAAACAATGGCTACATAACATAACATAACACGGCTACTGCGCATGCTTGCATTTGACAGATGCAAATGATGTAAACAAGGCCATGTTTATATGAGCCCATGTGAAAAGCCGACTCGCGCTGCGAAACCTTCATCGAGATTCCTTATTGTCGTTAGAACCTTTTACAGAAATGAGCCTTTCTTCGGAACAAAGTCGCTCTTTTGCGTTATGTATCCGTGTATTAATTTAGCCACAACTTTCTTGCCGCTTTTGTAGTCAGCGACTCGCGCTCTACTCTTCCTGGACTTCTGGATACCGCAGTTTATTCCACTCGATTGCGCGAAATCTAGTCAACATTATTTCCTTCCCGTTTGCGCAGGACAACGTCCCTAACTCTTGCCAGTGTACAAGCACTTGCTCTACGAAAGCAGGAAGAAAAAGGACTGGATGTCCTTGCAAAACAGCCGGTCGCTACTGCGGAGAGGCTTGTTCGTGCAGTCAACGAAAGCCTTGCAAGAACAGAGAGGTGGGGAAACAAAGCTCGGTTGAGGTCTAAAATTCGCTAGTAGGAAGTACTAGTACAGTTTGCGATTTCTTTTTTATCATGTGAAGGCTGCATCCGTGGCATCCCAAGGATGGGGATTCGTGCAAGGACCGCCAGGCCAACCAGATAATGGTCTTACGGAGGAGCAAGAACGGGACATGGAAAATCGACGAGTGAAGGTACAATACTGAATTATAATTCATAGTCGATGGCACAAAAGATAGTCCTTTAAAAATCTCATCTGCTATTCCTTTACCTAGTAAGTTTCCCTTGTACAAGTTGTTGATTGTTGCTTCCCCTAAATGGAGCAAATTGTCTTTTGTTTTAGTGTCTCGTTTGTGTGTCATGTTCTGAAGTGTGCAAGATTTCTTAGGGAAGTCCCCTTTTTACTAGTTATTTTCTCGTCGATTACGCTCTTAAAAAAATCTACGTGTCAAGCTTCGACAGAATGTGATAAAAAGTAATTGTCCAGCTACTCTAACAAATTATTGCACTATTTTTCAACCTCACAGGAGTTTATCCAAACCCTGGATGAGGAGCTAGCAAAAAAAACTTGCTACAAGAGCTCTACAGAGGGGAGTGGGCAGCATGGACTATATAGATATGTTTCTTATCCAGGAGGACCCAGAAGATGAGAATGACGATGCCGCTCTACCGTCTTCCCTTTCTCTATCCCCCCCCCTGAAGTGTCAAGTCCAGCACCACTGAACCCTGCCCAATCTACACGTGCATTCACCCCAGCCTCAGACTCGAGCATATCTGGAACATCAGCTTCAGGTGGGCCCTCATCTTTCAGGCCACCGCCAACAGCATCTATGGCAAGGTCAAGTGAACCAGTGCCTGAGTGGTGCAAATGTTGACATTGCCGCAGAATGTCGCAGGAGGTTGAGAACCGGTGCTGTAATTCTTGAGACTGTGTCTCACTTAGCGCACGTTTTCGCAAGCTATGCCTGGACCCTGATTATTTACAATTAAGTATAAAGTGTTCAGGGGATATCAGAAACGACCGTCAAGATAATAGCAGCAGAGCCTTCCGAAAGGCTGCCTATCGTCATTATATAATTGAAGAATATGGCTACCTTGGAAAACACAAAAGAAGGGTATGCCCTTCATGCTGTGTATGGAAAATTCGAGAGCACTACCCTTCCTCAACTGGGGTGTACATGGGGTTCAAACCTCGCTAAAATGGAAATAACTTTTTGATAGGTTTCTACAAGGAATTTTTAATTGCAGTTGGTTTGTTCAACCTCATGCCATACCCCCAACCCCACCCCCCCTCAAAAAAAAATTGTCCTGGATTGAGTACCCCTGTGAATATCGCCCCATGAAAACAATAGCATTACAGCTCTATTTGTATTGTGGCAGTGCGAGCAAATTTTATAATATGGATAATTAGACTCACAAAAACGGATTCCAACGGCTAGTTCAATAAGGACCAATCTACTCCGGTATTTACATTTACTAACCAATCCTTTGTCTTCGGTTAACTTTTGCATTATTTAGTTTCACATATTGTGCATTAAAATTATTAAACAATTCTCATAGGTTATATTTATTGTCAATTTATTGTCAAAAACACCACGGTTGCTTATTGTGCATCATACATGACAGTCCTTCGTTGATGAATATTTTCTTACACTGCACATGAATACATAAAGGTTCCATATTTATTACATATTTTACATCAGGTTTCCTAGTTTTTCTTAAACCTGCTGCTGGGCTGAATAAAGAGCTCGCGTGAAGGTGGGGGTGGCACCACAGCAATTGAAGGGGCTATCCTCCTTGGGTCATCAGCTTCCATTGGGACCGCCCTCTGCATATTTTCATTATCCTCCACACGTAGACGAAACACTTTAGCCAGAAGCATCCAAATATAACCATAGTCTTTGGCCTGCTTTACAATTTTCACATTCCAACTCTTTGTTCTTTGGTTGTACTTCCGGGTCACAGCAACCTCGCCTAGCACATCTTCTTGTTCAGGAATATCGAGGTGATAGTTCCAGTCAATGGCAGCTAGTTGTTTTCTTGCTTTGTAGACTTTCTTCCTAAAAAGAACAATTGATCAAAATAGACAGTGTTCCATGAGATCTTTGTTCACACAGGGCAAATTTTTGAAGTATACAACAATTTGAGCTTCTCTATAGGCTAGAGATAATAATTTATAAATACTATGAACTTTTAAAACTATGAAGTGTCGTTACTTACGTGTAGGAAATTCTCTTGCTGGCATACATCAATGACAGAGAGTTGGCTCGTTCTAATGCGCCTGTATGCCTAAAAGTAAAATAAATATTTTTGAAAAACATGGTTAAATATACATGTAATAATTAAAGAAGGACAATGAATTGAGCTTGACATAGAAAGGCATTTAGGGGCTGGCCAACACCTTAAGAAGGTTTTCACAAGGTCCACAGTGGCAATAAAAAATAAACCCTTGCCTAAGCCTGACAACGTTAACGTTACTGAGCTTAGTTTAAGGAATGGGGCTGCTCGGAGTTATTGACATAGTATTCATTAACACATTCTTCTTTTAAGTTTCCTCCATACATTTCTTTTGCCAAGGACCAAGCAGACAGGAATACAAACCAAAATATTTTTTCTTTGAAGACCATAACATTCATCCATAAACATTATATTTGAATAAACCAACGTATTGAAATAAGATATATATTTAGTCTTTCTTATGAAAACAGGGTTCCCCTTATATACCTGAATCTGGTGTAGTACTTGACACTTTCAAGAAGGTCAGGATCCAGGATAATTTTTTGCAGTGCCTCAAACTCTTTGGATCTCCTGTCAAACCATGGAAGCTGGTGGTTTTCCTCAGTGATTGGCTCGTGGTCACAGTGGCCATCAGCCCACTCATGTTGATTGCACGAATGGTGTAATAGTGAGATCCAGGTATCATGAGTTCATAATAGTAAAATTTCATTGAAACAGATATAACAAGATGATAATGACATAGGGTCTGTTCACATGGAGGTAGGGAACCTAAGGTAGGTGAGGTAACCCGCTTTGGTGGAGTATCCCGCTTGTCCATATAATATCTCATTTTAATTTGATAGATGGGGTGACCCACCACATTTTACCTCACCTATCAGAGGTCCCCCACCTCCATGTAAACAGACCCTAAAACATTGTGAAGAAACAAAGAGTTTACAGCCTGATATAATATAATGTGATAAAATTCAAAAAAGTCTCAGGAAAAAAAATTCAGAGCTGTCACTAATATTTCAAGTTGCTGGGTTCATAAAATAAGTAGGCAGAGAATCAAACAACGGGGGGTTTCGTTTGGTTCCATTTTTCTTCTATTTTCCTTTGAGTGTAGATACCTGCTTGGGGTTGTTGTACTGCCCTTGACTCTTCCGTACTCTTCTTCAAGGCTTGCTTGGCTTTTAAACTGTTAAAATAAAGTAATATTTAATAGGTAGTTAGATTCGACGTTGCATCTTAGACTAAAAAGCAATATAAATGTAGAAGTATTATTTTCTCACCTTTGTTGCCTTCGCATCTCAAACGACAACAAATGCTGCAAGAAAGCAGTGTCGGTGGAGAAGACACACTGAGCTTTCAGCGTTTTAAATGTGTCCAGAATGTCACGGCGGACGTAAATCCTTCCATGGGACTTGAGCGACGAACTCCGAGAGTCAGATCTCTTCTCTATGCTCCTAACAAAGCTTCCAGGTGACAAGAGCCTACGGCCACTGCCGTAGCGTTTACCGCCTCGAGCCGACATCCTTCGCTTGGAGCGCTAAATAGCGCTTAGGATTTCCACAATTCTCCAAAAAATTACTGTAACACGAAAGCCTTATGTCTAAATAATTTAAATATATAGATAAAATACAAAACGAACACCGATTAGCGACGATGGAAACAGATTTTCACTTGATTCGTGAGGATTCGCGTCAGTTTGATTTCTTGTTGGGCTGAACACTTTTCAAAGAATTGAGCATGCGCAATGCATGTGACACGGCTCCTTTAAGTGTCGATGTCTTTAGCTTATAAAGGCTAATTGGGGACACTAAAACAATAGGAAAAAAATATAAAATGAGTTTATACATGGTATCATAAGGTGAATTTATAATTCTCTAAAATCTAAAATTTATAAAAGGTAAAATTTTAAAGGTTAAAAGATTACGGAGTTATACCCACTAAAATACACAGAAAAATGCTTAACATATTTTTAAAAATTCTCAAGTACTACAAATAAGATAGATTCGAAAGGTTAATACGCCGTATGCTAGTCTTGAAGGATTGTAAAGTAGGTTTATCCTTGATTTTGCTGTCCAATCTAGACCATATATGTGGTCCAACTGAGTACCTTAATATAGAATGTTTCCCGTAACTTACACTATTAAATCTGGGTAAATGAAAATCCATATTTCTTAAGTGATATTTGGATGACTTAACACTAAAAATGTCAGCGACATAACTAGGTACCGAACCATGTTTAACTTTATACCTTAAGGTAGCAAGATCTTGTAAACGCCGATTTTGTAGGCTAGATAGATTGGCAGGGTTAAGAAGATTAGAGTACTCTACAGCTGACTCTACTGAATGTGTGTTATACACGATCCTAAGGGCTCGCTCTTGTACTCTTTCAACTTTTCTGGCGTCGGAGGCTTTACAGAAATGTCATATAAGATGACAATATGTTGAATATGGCAATATCGAGGATTTATATAAAAGTAATGTTGCTTCGGTAGGGATCAGATTTCTTAATGGGTCCTTAATCTTGAGAGGACGCCCACTCTCTGGCTAGCTTTTATACGCAGTTCACTAGTGTGTTTGCTAAATACAAGGTGTTCGTCGATGTTAACTCCGAGAGGGCTAATGTCCGCTGTACTTTCAATGACTTGCGCATTGATTGTTGTATTAAGAGAACAAAACTTGCCAGAAGGAAGAAACGGAGGCATAGCGAGTTGACGATGAAGGACCACCACATCACTCGTGCGACCACTTTCAAAAACCAAAGCACGATTCCCAAAGCAACCTTTATTGAAATAGGTGTAAACCAAAAACGAAATTAAACAGACAAAAACGAAAAAAAAAAAAACAAGATAGAAGGAAAAAAAGAAGGGGTACTTAACGGGATCCGAAACCGACGCCATCGGCTCCACGCGACTTCACCTTACCACTACACCGCTCAGATTAATTGCGAAACCCGTGTGAAAAGTCTAAAATTTAATACACGAATAACAAATGTCTTTATACAACGATTTTCCTCTTATTTTAAAGCTGTTGGTCCAAATCGCTTCCATTTTCTCTGCAAAATACTTCTGCAGTTGAAATGTATCGTCAAAAGCATTTTTTAAACTGCTTTTTAAAGCGCGGCCACAATTTCAACCGGACCAAGATAGTGCGCTTCCTGTGCAAGTCTACGGACTTACCGACTTTATACGGACTTACTCACAACGCCATTACATAGTGGCTACGCCTCCTAACGGGAGGCAGTAGCCACAATAACTATTCATTTAGCTTCCTGTACTCAAGTTTTCTCTTGTTTCCATTGATTTGAAATAAATAAATAAATACCGTGTGGCATGAAATTTTTACGATTTTTGCAGTGATCTGCAAATAAGAATTCCCGCAAACACTTACTACATCCAAAGTAAATATTCTCTAACTTAAATTTTCTACACAAAAATACAGTATTAAGAAATCGTGTCTGGAAAACTTGTCTCTTTTATTCAGAAACAAAACGGTATACAATGAATTGCTGGTTTTACATAGGGTACGCATACCGTATTACTGTTTGAAAACTAATATGTATTTCTATTACACGTACTTAACAAAAACGAAAATATTATTAATGCTGGGTACTGGGTACTTTCTGAAAATCGCAAAAATTAAATCCCAGCGAGAAAAACCAATCTGCCCTAATCACAAAAATTTCCTGGTTCCCGTCAAACACAAAAAATCGCCAATCCGCAAAAATAAACTCTCGCAAAAATTTCGTGTCACACGGTAATAACTTGCAAATAGATAATTACATAGATAGAAAGCGGAAGGATGCTAAGTTAAGAAACTGGCAAGAGAGAGATGCATTGCTGCCTGGTATAGGCTAAGAAATCACAGACTGTAATGCCATTTATACAGAGGGTATAAGACGCGTCTTACCTAAGACACTGCTCTAAAATAAGGCACTAACTGCACTATTTATTCGAGCATGCCGGAATGCGTCTTAGCTAAGTCGTACCTTATTTAAGACGCCACGACACTGGCTTTTTTGTGCCATTTATACGAGAAGTTTTAGGGCTTGTTTACATGAAGGTGGGGGACCCCAGGTAGGTGAGGTAACATGTGGCGGGTTACCCCACCTATCATGTAAACGTAATAAAAGTAAATAAGAGATTACATGGACAGGCGGGTTACCTCACCTACCTGGGATCCCCCACCTCCATGTAAACAGGCCCTTAGTTTTATTCAAGACGCGTCTTTTTTCTTGCATAAACAAACCTAGTGATGTAAATTCTAATATTTCCTCACTGCAAAATTATTCCAGTTCACAACCGAGAAGGTTTCCTTTTTCCCACGAAAATAGCTTAACCTGGGGTGTCAAATGTAAAAATCAAACTTCAGAAAATCGTAGGGAATTTATCAGATAAGCTTTGAAAACTGTACAGGAATGGAACGTCATCTAGAAATTTTTAGCTTTCCTCATGTAATAGAAATTCTAGGCAATACTTGCTTCTCCGAACAGATATTTTACACAAAACAGTCGTTGGGTGCCGCTGGTGGTTGAAACTTTTGAGTCTGTGGGTGAAATCCTAAAGTGTGACCATTCATATGAAAAGTACTGATTACTGAATACTATCCTGTGATTATAAATTGTACTCGACAAGGTGGTTCTAACTTTTGAGTCTGTGAAAGAAATCTTAGAGTGTGAACATCCAAATGAAAGCTACTCTGAGAAGTACCGTTCATGTCGTATACTGCGGTTTTAATTTATTATGCTCTACAAAGTGGTTCTAACTTTTGATTCTGTGGAAGATCTAGATCTTAGAGTGTGAACATTTAAAAAAAGCTATACTGAGCAGTTACTTTCCTGTGGTACTGTTTATTATGCTGTACAAGGTGGTTCTTGAAATCTTTAAGTTAACTCGGGTTAAACGTAGCCTAGTTTGGATAAAATCCTACTAAGTATCCTGAATTATGTTCATTCACATAAAGCTATACATAAATCTACTTGGTGCTTTGTTTAAATTCTTGATGAATTCAGTTTTAAAAGCAGTGTGAAAGTTCTCTTCAATTTACGACAAAAAGATAACCGCTTAGAAGTTCTTTGTTAAAAGACATACCGGGCCTTGCCTAGGCAATTCCTATTTTCTTCCCCAGTGGCTTATCATCACGCATGCTTTCAAAACTGTTAATGAGGAATGCTCCCCGTTTTTCTAGCGATACACGTGTAGCCAAGGCGACCACGGTAAAAACTTTCTGATCCTTACACGGCTTACACGTTGAAAAACTATCAATAAGAAAAAAAAGGCAGGCTTTTGTGTCATAAGATAAAATCAGTCTGTCCTATTAAACTAATTCATTTGATATTAGTCTGGCCACAGCCGTTTTTTTCTTTCTTTCAAGGATTTTGGTCGATAAATCATTCGCCGAGGTTTCAAGTACTTCCAGGCGCGCACTCGATCTCTCAAGAGAAAAAATATGGTGTCTGTGAAAAGTTAAGATTACCTTGAAAAGCCCCATAATCGGCCCATAATCCAAAAGGAGTAAACAAACGAGAAATGTCATGCACGGTAAATCCAAGGAAACCAGCCCTTTGCAAATTTTGAAATACACGATAGTTCTCAAAGTCGGTGCCAATTTGAGGAATTTCGCATGAATAGGGTTCTTTCGATAAGTTGAAGTTCACTTAGCGAGATCTAATGGACAAAAACCACGAAAGTGAATAGGCATGTTTATTAGTTTCCGTTATTCAAGATCGATGAGAATTAATGTTTTTGGTGTAAGCAACATTAAAGGTTTTATCGTTACCCGAATTTTGCTTGACTTTTTGTCAAATTCTGATCAAATGTCAATTTATCGATACCCATTCCCTACCCTCCTAGTGACCACTGAATAATAAACTTTTTACAACAGTTCTTCAATAAAGATACACACAGCTGCTAAAAACCCTTATCTGAAAAACTCTCTTTTAGTTCACAGCACATGACCGTTTATCTGAAACTAAAGGGCTGTTTACATGGAAGGACTGAGATAGATCCGAGCACCGGGTAGATCCTAGAAGGCGGAACAACTTTTCGTTGGGTTTTTATGCAGAAATTTCAGTCCGTTTGGTTAACAGTAGAGAAGGAACGAGACGCTGCCATTTTGGAGTGGTTTATCCCTAGTAATATAGGATCTTCCTCGTGAAGGTCGTTTACACAGAACTACAATCTTGGACAAAATAACTGGAAAACCAAGACCCCACCTTCCCCCCCCAAATCAAGGATGGGAAAATGGCGCGTTTTTGCCCTTTGCGCGGCTTCATCCTTGATTTGGGGGGGATGGGGGTTTGCGGTTCCATTTTATTTTGTCCAAGATCGTAGGTACCTCTCAGCAAGGAATTTCTAGTACTTAATTAAGAAGATCCTAGCGCTAGGGACAAGTACAACTCTGCACGAAAACTGAATAGAGAAAACATATGACGTTAGGTAGTTCCGCCCTCTAGGATCTTCCTAGTTTTAGGATCTTTCTCCCCTAACTCCTTGTCAACAGCCCCTGAGAGATAACGTTCACTAGAGAACTAAACATTATCCAACGGCAGAACCCGGCATTGATGAAACAGGTAGTCTTCTGATCAAATTACAAATAGTTTCAAAAAAGTCGCTCGTAACTGAGGAAATCCCTAAATAAAGCGTAAAAAAATTACTGCATGCTGAACTATAAGGATATAAAGACTCTGTATGGGGTTGAGATGTGGTAAAAAAATTTTACTTGTCAGATGTGGAAAAAAAAATTCACTGATAGGCCATGAAATTTTGCCTGATGGCGGAGAAATCGGTAAAAATCTGACTAATATAACTGAGATTCGAGATCTCTCATGCAGAGCTCTCTCTCTCAACGGACACTTCTATAAAACGGGTACCTCTCTAAGACGGACACCTGGTGTTGATCCCTGCCGTTTTTCAGTCATTTTACTGTAACTATAAGACGGACAACAGACACTTTTGAAACCGTAAACGGACAGTTGAGAAGTGCTTTATGAAGTGAAAAAAAATTCAAAACAAAAATGTAGGTGCTCTACATGACAGTAAATTGGAAAGTGTTTGATATTTTTTAGTCTTGCACCTGTTCCAGTGTATACTGTTACGCTTTGAGACCACGAAGCCGTGAACGTTTGCTTGTAAAGAACGTTTGATTGCACAGTGAGAAAAAAATTCCACTTTTCTGTTACAATGTTCCAGTTTTAGCTGAGTCGTTCAAGTTAAACAGACGTGAATTCATTGCGAATAGGTTCAGCTTTAAAATTACAGGTGTCACGTCTCTGACCTTCACTCCCATAAAGCCAGACACCTCTTTAAGACACACAGTCGCCGGTCCCGCAGGTGTCCGTCTTAGAGATCGAGGGAGTTGACTGTATGCCAAATTATAAATCAATAATCAATGTAATTACTCTTCATCACCACTGTCTATATTTGCATACTCAAGCAACGGGCTGCTTTGACGATCCTGGACATATTTCTCACTGCATTCTACGTGCAAAGAGATCTTCTGGAATTCCTCGAAGAATGTGATACCAAACAAGCCAAAGCACAGTGCTGCGATCCACTCACTGACATTGCTTAGAACGTGGACGCTGTAGCCTGGGTCTGAGGGCTGCCAGTTGGCGACCACGTGAGCAGTCTGGTGACGAAACTCTTCGTACGCGAATATTTCCGCCACAAAAAAAATCGAGCCGAACGCGGTTATTACGCATGTCAGAATGAAGCGAACTGCAAAGAGGAACTGGGAGTTGATTCCCAGCTGAGTTAACTTATAGGTGAGACAGCACTGGACCCAACAGTACAGAGCACCGCTTCCAAACAACAGAACCGCGCCAGCATCGTGCACGTAAATCATGTTGTCTTGCTGTCAATAAAAAGATATTTATTTATTACAAATCTATGGCATAAACTGACAAAATACAATTTAAAAAAGAGCCAAGGGGTAATCCGTAAGGGAGTCCAGAACCCCACACAAAAACAGATCACCTGTAAGCTATATAAATACCGATAAATAATACAAAAAAAATTACAAAAATACAAAAAAAAAATTATGTAAAGTATAAAACATAAAAATGATATATAATTTACTAAAAAACATCAAGGAACCAAGTGCTAATACTTAAGAATCTGAAAGGATTTTCCTAGCTTTAGACTTAAAAAATATTAACATTACCAGAACTTAACCTGACAACGAATATTTAAAGGTAGCTGGTTCCATAAATCACAAAATTTGATTTTAAGAAGCTATAATTATAAGAAATTATTTAAGAAATTAGTTCGGGCATATTTCTTTGTTAGGGTTAAAAATGCGGAGTTAACATGTTATGGGCTCTTGTCAGATCATGTAATATCTAAAGAGAACTCTTAAAATATAGATTGAAAGTCTAAATATTAACCGATGATGCTCTGCAAGTCTGGGCTTTTGACTGAAGTAAAATTCAAGCCGAGAATTTATTTAATTCAGAGACATTTAATGGAAATAACTTAGTCCGTCTGCGGTGTTCATACAAGGGCCTTGACGGCGGTTATCACATTCCAGAAGATCGTGCTGAACCCATACCTTGTTTGCGCAATTAAGTTTACACTTAAAAAAACATAGCATAATTTGCATTTTGTAAAAAAAATGGATTTTTTTCTGTCTATGTACTACAACTAGAAAAAAAACACAACAACGATTTTGGTTAAAAATGAAAGTAATTTTTACTTTATCACGGGATTTTATTTGATCGGTTTATAATGAAATAAACTGTCAATAATGTATTTGCTTATTTCAATCAGAAAAGCCAGAAGGAGCAAAAGGTGAGAGCCGGCTGAAATGTACATGTACAACTAAAAAATTTGTGGTTTTCTGATTAAAGGTATTCCAAAACTTTTGTACAGTAAATAATAAATCAACACGTAAAACACAATAAATATCGATTATAACAAGCTCAAATTTAAGAGGGAAGGCTAAACGATAAGTTAGTAATAACAAAGAATCTCACAGGTAATAGTAAATTGGAACATACCTCGTTGGATGGAAAATTAGCAATGATTGTACCGCCAAACACACTGACAAGGCCACAACCTAAGCCAACCTTGTTCAAACGTCTGAGAAGAAGATCTAGCGAATCCAAACCTTTTGTCAACATTTCAAACTGCAGATAGCGAACAAACAAACTGAGTGCCATCAAGACCATAGAAAAATTAAAAAACTCGGAGAAAATGTTCGATTCGGGGACCCGCGCGCCCGTGTCGCTTATAGCGGGTACAAACGGATAAATGTGATGTTGCGATACAGCAATACCGTAGCACATGAGAAAAGTAAGCGAGGTGAAAATAGCCCATCCAACCGGGAGGTAGCCATATCCGAAAGAAAAGTCACTGAACATGGCTCGTTGAAATTCTTTGTCGTTGCCGAAAGATAAAATCGTTTGAATCTACATCACCAAGGTTTTCGCCTATACAATCCACGGCAAAGTCAGTCAGTCTGAACTTTCTTCAACAACCCTCACGGCAAGTAATTACTTGAAAAAAATAATAACTACTGTTTCTGTCCCTTTCTTCAAATTCTGTCCCGGTTTGAGTTAAAGCACAGAATTCGAAAGGAGGCGGAAAATTAAAAATTCTCTTATGCAAATTTGGGAAAGTAACAATAGCCGACTTACTCAAGACGAAAGCTCTGATTCATTTGCAATATTATATTCGACAGGAAGACTCATGATTGGTGCGATAACTCAGGTTGGTTTATAATGCGCAAACAAGCTTTGACACAATGACACCCACAACAAGAGAGAAATTCTCCAGCAAATGTCACTTTCAATTCTATTTCCCCCTCCTTCAATACTCTGTATTCGTTCAAACGTAAATAAACGGGCTTCAAATGTTTTTACGTCAAATAAAATTTCTGGGCATCATCTACTCATCTTTATTGAAAATGCGTCGACACTGGCATATGCATTGTCGGAATGAATAATTTATTCGTTCTAAAAATTGATTTTGATGGATATTGACTGAGATGTTTTAAACAAAAAGTGAGACGGACAATACAAATTACAGCTGTTTCATGAAATACCTTTCACAGAAGTACAACAAAAATGTACAACAAAATGTTGTTCATCGACACCCTTTTCAACCACAGAACCAGGGTGGTAGACAGACGAAATATCCTCCAAAGAATTGAGGAAAATATATACTTTAAATGTACTGCCACCTTGGCCATAAAATGTTTCGTAGGAATATCCTCTTAACTAACAGCGGGCCTACATCTTTTCCCTTTTTACATTGTCTTCGTCTCGTGGAAGCAATTAAGCAGGAACACAGACAACGGGGCTTTTAACATTTTCTTATACACCTAACTGAAGAAATGTTGCAGTCTGAGAATGTATAAATGCATAATCCTTTAATATTCTAACATGTTTTAATTTATTTTCTTATTTCGCAAGCCGGAAAGCGGTTGCACTGTATATAAACGTAATCAAATTAAAAACGTTGGGGAAAAATCTGATTTATTGAAAAAGCATAAACCGAAATCGATCCTCGTAAACGGAGCAAATGAAGGCAAAAACGTGTGCTAGCTTTTCATCCCATTTTTTCACATGTCGGGAAAGATTTGAAGATCATCTCTATGCACGCATGGTTTTGAAGGTATAGCGCTTAGTACGAGCGAGAACACGAAAATATTCGAGTCACCGCTCTAGTCCAAAATTGATCGCGTTATACCAAAGTCTTGTCAGTTTTGCTTTTTTTTTTCAATGTTGATCGCCTTGAGTATGTAAAAGGGCAAGTCTAGATCCACAAAAACGCAGAAAGAAACTAGGCCTCTCAGATCTAGCCATTTTCATTCATGACCTAATAAGCGTGGTCAATAAAATATTTAATATCTTGGGAGAAAAAACTAATTACAGTTCTGTACTGCAAATCGATTCTCGAAGAACAGCCAGAAATAAGGAAACAAATTTTCACCAACCGTTTTAAAAGAAATATTTCCTGAGGCCAATCACAGCGGGCCACAATGTTTGCTTCGAAGCGAGTGCGTTAGCTTCGCGGCAGCTGCGGACATCCATAAAACCATCAGAAAATAAACGTCACAACCGTGATTATTTTTGCGAGCGATATTTTGCATGAAGCATTATTATCAGTTATAAAAGTAAGAAAATCATATGCAGCAGATACCCCTGACTAACCCGGCAAAATTTACGGCAAGAAATATTTAAACAACTTCTGAAAGTCCTCTCTGCTAAAAAGAACTTCAACCTAGAAATCGAGACCACACTCTTCTTAGATAGAAGCTCTGGATGGGTTTAAGAACGGCCCAAAGGACAGTCAAGGGAAAATATGCTCGCTCATATAATGCTAGGTTTCGTTATATCGTATATTGTATTTTCAGTTTAAAGGTGACGAAGAATATCGTGGAAAAGATGATTCTTTTACATCTAAACAAGCACTGGAGTAAATCACAACGGCATTCAATTTTGCTAAACATGTGCGTTCTGAGTTCGACACGAGGGATTTGAATAGAGAAGCTGTACAAAAGCCACACCACAACTGTCTATAACACTTGTTTTGTAGTTCACACCTTTGAGGACATGACATAACGTTTACTTAGTTTTGGCGGCTTGCTTGGTTCCCTTATCTTCACTGGCATTACAGAGGGAAAACAACCAGGGATTTATTTTAGAAACGACATGGCAGTTTTCATTGGCGATTAGTTTAGACAGGCTTAAAATGGAGTTGACTTGCTTTATCCAATGAAGTCTACTGTATGAACTGAGAAACAAGTCCGAACAGGAAACAAACCACGCACTGCTTTGAACCTGACTGTTAAGGGTTGGTTAAATTATTTGACGGGATAACATGTTAATCATGGTCACAGATCAATACTGTGGCTCCATGTCTCAAACAACACAGAACCGATCGTTCCCCATCGGTGACTCAATCATATTTATGGCATCGTGTCTGTCCGAAAATACCTGCTTTCATGTCACTAAAACAATGAAAATGTTTCGACCTTAGGAAAACTTGGCACGGTACTGACTTGATTAAAAAGCTCCCCCGAAATCTTGGCCTGTTGCGTCATGTATTTTATTTTTGGCAAATGAAGTAGGGAACAGAATGACAATTACTACTGCTAACACAAACTTCCAGTAGTAAGAGGGGGGGGAGGGAGTCACTCAATAATGTTTTATATGGAAGGCTCCGCTTCGATGTCCAATCTCTTACCGTTTTATTTATACCATTTTTGACAGAAAAGGCGAATACCCTCTTATGACGAATAGTACCCTTTACACTTACTGCCGCCTGTGAGAATCATAGAAAATCAGATTTAATAAAATTCTATAGATAAACTAGAGACAAATCCACGCAGTCGCCATCAACAACTATTTAAGACTATAAATACGCTGGCTTGCTATTTATATGACACTTTGCGTAGAGGGTTCCCCCATAACCGACAGCGTTAACGAAGGTTACAACAAGTTCAAGAAGTTGTTCTCCAAATGGTTCATTTCATTACCAAGGCTTCTATACTACTTAAATAACAACGGCCCGTTACTGCACGAAAACTAAATTTGTCTCCCACGTACAAATAACGAATTAAAGTACGTGAAAGTTGCACAATCCTCTTTGAAGGATTTGTGAAACAGATTTGGCTGCATATAAGCCCAGCGAGTATTTGGTTTGCAAATGAACCATAAGCGGATTCTGACAGCATAATCTAGAATGTAGTTTTTAAAAAAACTCCTAGAACAAGGGTGCAAAATACGCTCTAAAACCAAAACAAAACCATGACCCCGTAGAACAAGGGTGCAAAATACACTCTTAACAGCCAACGAATCTGAGTAATAAAACTATTATAGTAAAACCAAGTAATAACAGAATATTTTTTAAAGTTTTCTATTTTACTTGAAACCGAGGGAATTCTAAAACATATTTGCGCATCGATAAGTAACCCACTTAAGTCATGGCTTTCTCTTTGCCTCATAAGTCTCCGCTTTTACAAACAAAGGGGATTTCTGAACCTTCCAAAGTTCCGCAAGTCCGACTGAGTGTCATATCTATCAGGAAAAAATCAATCAAGTCAGCTAGATCTGTGATCAATTGTAACTCCAACTATTCTGAGACTGTATATGAAATATTGAAATATTGCCATTCAATTTCGAAGATCCTGAATAGGAGAGCACTGAATTGCGTAAACAGAATAGTGGTGCGTAGGTTGATTCCAACTGAATTCAGAGTTTTCCAAGTTCCGTCTTTTTGGAGTCTAGACTGAAGAACTCCCCTGATCTCACAATGTGGGCATGTGAGAATGCTCATTCGGTGTCTTAAAACTGGGGTTGCATATCTCCAAAACTGAAGCAAATTTTATAATTATTTTTATTGTTGTTAATTATTATTATTAATGTTAATTCTTCCTCTCTTGGCCGCTTTTCGCCGAGGGACGTAAGAAATCTAGGTGGTATTACTAGGTCTCCGAAACAAGCTCTGTTTCCCAAACGTTTAAAGGTGTCCGCGCCCAAATTAAATTAGCCCCGTAACCATCCTCGTTAAACTTTTGCAAATATTTTCTCTATTAATGTTACTGTTTCAATTCTTCTTAAGATAGGAATCCTTCTCACAGTGTGTTGCGGGTGTGTTTAAACCTGTAAATGTTCGAAAAGGCTAAACATGCAACTTCCTGTACATACTCAAGGTCGTCATTTTCTATTTGGAACATTAATTTCTTCATGGGCACGGAAGATTGAGTAATCCAATCAATTCCTTCGTCTTCCCCTAAAAATATTATTATTATTATTATTATTATTATTATTATTATTATTATTATTATTATTTTAGCTGTTTATTTTGTTTAAAAACAATGCAGCTAAATTCAGGCGAAAATTATTGTGAGGAGCATTCGAAGTGAAGAAGCATTGTTCTTTTGATGGCTGAAAAGAAAGGATTTTAAACAAGCATAATAATGTCACCTCTAATATCCGTATGTAATTAATTAGAGGTTAAGCAAACAAATAATAAGTGACCATGACGTCCTTTGTTCAACGTACGTATTCTACATGGGAATGAAAATTCACTTAATGAGTCCCCCTGAAATCATTTAATTTGTGTTTGAAACCGGAACAGTCTTCTGTAAAGAAAACAATTAGAGTGGAAAATTATTGCTGGTTGTTGTTTTCATGTTGCTATTATTTTGCAAATTTTTAGGAAAAAACAAAAACAAATTAAGCTGCAGATTGATCACGTTTAATTTTGAATTACGAAATCAGTTTTTTTTTTCAAGAATTTAAAAATGGAATAAAATATTAGAAAAAGGATGAGCAAATAACTAATCAGTGCTAATTGGTAGCTAAATGGGTTGCTAGGCCATAAGAAATCCATCAAAAGTTTGACCACACATTGCTACATTCCGTCAATTACTAATAGCGAGTCTAAACAAAGTATCACGTCCAAAGTATTTTAAGCATCCTTTGTATGGCTAATACCACGTCTGAAGGATATATATTAGCCAACCTGCGCACATCGCTCTCGACATTCAAGTTTAACTGGCACGTA